GATTTACATACTAGCAGCTCAAGAATTTTCTAGGTCTAATGCTCCTTTTTAGAGACCAGATAAACACAATGTGCAGGTTAGAACCAAAATGCTCATCTCTCATTTATCAGGCTGTGCACAGTTCCCTTCCCAAAGGGATGTATTAAATAAGACTTAATGGAGAAACCAATGAATATAAGCATGTCCCTCATGCAATATGATCACACTTAAAACTTTATTAAGTACTTCCTAGAAGAAAAAAAAACACATGACAGACATTGGTGAGACCCTCACCTTCAGGATATTCCTCTCCTTCAAATGATCAGCTAAAAGGCCACCTTTCTATCAGGTGGCCAAAGTGATGGCCACCTCCAAAGTGAAACACTCCAAAGTGAAACAGTTTTTAAAGGACTGACTGGTAGCCAGCCTTTCTTGTGAAATACAACTCATTGTAACCTGTAGCTGCTGACAGACAAGAAATAGAATGTAAAGGTTTCAGCAGTGAGAAGCATAACTAATTAGTAATTTCCACATAGGAAAGGTGTCCAAGCTATCCAGTAAACAGAGCAAATATAAACACAGCTGCAAACAGCAGTAGTCAATTCTTCTAACACAATCCATGCCAACATCTGTGGTCCTGCAGTAATATTCAATTTTGCCCACTAATTTACTTGCCATAGCCATGACTTGCCTACACAAGCACTTAGAGCTTAACTGGAAGCAGTGTGCTTTTGTGCTGTGGCAGGGTCTCCCTCCATGCTATTCAAGCCTGTAATAGCACTCCAGCAGCCTTCTCTGAGCGCAGCACAGAGAAATCTAATTTTCCTTAGATATTTAATAAAGAAAAGGGAAATGGCTCTTCAGAGAAATGATGTATCTGCTCATCATCAAATGAAGTCAGTTATGTTCTGATTAGTTGGCCACTGACTTCTGCACTTTTATTTGCAAATAAGAGCCTGTTTACTTCTTTCAAAACAGGTGAAGAATGAAAGGAGATCAGTGAAACACAGATGTTTTTTTTGTGTCAGCCTGACACCAAGAAGTTCACATAAAAATCCCAGGTCCATTTTAACTTAACACATCTCATCATGGAATTTAAACTTGCTTTTGCAATCTTGTCTTAGAAAGACTGACCACAAATCTTTCTCCAAAGGGCTGAGAAATACTTGCTAAGACTTCAGCTAAACCACTGAAGTTCCACCAGTAATGCATTCTAATGGAGAAAAAAATTACTTTGCTCAATGAATATTGAGTTTTAGCTCTGCTGTTTCAGACAGCATAGAAGCTGGAATTTCTTTTTACTATGTCTGGAAGTAGTTTACTGCTTGAGCTACACATAATCCAGAAGAATGCATGAAAAGTGAGACACATAAAACTAACTTTTATACAATAGTTATGTCAACAGCACATGTTCAAAATGTTAGGTTTTGGCTAACTAATAACTTTTTAAACACCCATTTTAAGTGACATTTGATAGTTTTAGCCTTCTATAACAAAAATTAACAGTAAACTCCTCCAACATCTTCTTAGCTACAAGTGCAGGGTAATTTATGACAACAACAATCCACTACTGAAAGACTGACCCCATCTGCCAGCCTGATGAAAACAATGAAAAAAAAAACATAGTTAATGCAATATAAGATACTGATGAGTCAAAATTCTAAGACCATGTTATGATGTCATCAAACAGATATTTAATGCTATGCTAAGAATCACTAAGATTTAGACATGACAATAGGCCATAAGAAAACTCAGGTGTTTGGGAAGATCAAGAGCTTACCATATGGCAGAATACATGAACACAGCCTACTAGCAAAATACTAAGTTTGGGTTTTTCTTTTTCTTTTTTTTTTTTTCAAAGGAATGAACCATAGAAGCAAAAGCAATACTGGTCGGAGAAGATGATAAAGTAACAAAACCCACCAGAGACAGGTAAGGTTTGTTCAGGCAAAAGAACAAAAAGATATTTGATGATGGCTTTTGGCTGCTTTCTAAGTTGGAATTAGGACAAAACAGGTGTCCACAGACATTCTATCACACCACCTTACTTCTTGTCTAGAATTAAGACTCACCCTAGTATTTTACTTCAACTCCAAATATGCAGCTGCCTCACAGGGACTGGGGAGGATCACTCCTACAGACAATTAGCAAACAAAGTTGGCAGTCACACTGTCAACATCATCACTGTCATTGTGACTGAGAGGAGATCCACTGCCTGAACCCTAGAGCAGGCTCAACACTTCCTAGGCTGTCCCCAAAACACCACTGGATGGCTAAACTGAATAGTTTCCAGAGTTCTCAGCAGTTAGATGACATTAAGACTAATTATGGAAAAGTGACAATTCACTAAATCTGCTGCTCTGAGCAGACTGTTTCTGTGCACACACACACGACAAAAGCACATCACAGCCATGTGTATAATGAGCAGAGGCAGAGCAGGGCCCAGGCTCCATCCATCACCAGCCCCCCATTCCATGCAACCACCACTGGCTGGAGAAGGAAGGGATGCACGATGCACTGCAATGGACAGACTTGAGCAGAGATCACTACAATGAAAGCAAGACTATTCCCAGCTTAAAGGAACCCAAACACTACAACACGTGATGGGCAGTGTTACAAACACAGAAGGCACAAGGCTGAATTCAGCATGCTGCCTACAAACTTCAGTGACATAGTCAAGAATTTCAGGGAACCCATTTCACTACTTTAAATGACATATTACTATAATATTTACTATCTGCCTTTTCTAAAATTGTTACTGTTTTAATTGGGTCTACAAAAAAGAATTAAGAGTCCATAATCAAGGCAAGTATAGGCTGGTTTAGAAAGCAACATTCATAAACTCAGGGTTAGTTTTTATTATTGTTTCTTGGATCAACCAGAAAAGAATTTTTTTCTTAGAAACTATGCACTTGACACTTTAAATGCAAATGTTACATTCTGTCTGTTTCTTAAGCATTAGAATTTCTTTTTTCTACAAGATAAGGAAACTTAAGGGTAAGAAAGGGTAAACAGTCTTAAGTATGCATACCCCCAACTCAGCTGTTTTCCTCCTTCTAAATTGTGATATTTGAACCTTGAAATAGCAAAGTAAGCATGAAAACAAAGTTTTTTTCATGACAAAGGACTTGTCTTCCCATTTTTAAAACTTCTCTGTTTACCATCAGTGTTACCCAGAAAATAAACTGACAGTAACTGCTTAGGTATGTCACTTTCTCCATCCCTTCTTCTGCCATAAATCTAGAAGGGCTTTTCTCCTATCTCTTCAACTACTCTAACCACCTCCTGCTTACTTGTTCAAAGCAATTCAACAAGTCCACAGAAGACAAAGATATGAAGAGCAATTCCAAAATACCCAACCAAACAAAGCCACATTACCAAAACAAAATATCCAAGGCACTAGCTGTAGCTCAAGAAGTGCTTAAGCCTCAACCTGTGGGAGTGTAGGAAGAGACATGGGAAGGAAGTAGGGCTGTTCTGTTGAAGCTTTCTTCTCCAAACATCTGTTCCTCTTCAAAGTACTGTGGGGCTGGATGGACACTCAGTGTCAATCACTACAGCTGCTGTCAGCCCACTTGATCAAATTCAGGCAATGCTGACTCATAATACTGAGTGCTCTCCTTCTGATCATGCCCTTCTTTCACTGGCTGTCTCTATTTCCTCTCCTAATCCTTACTTGAGAAAGAACTCATATCTATGCATTTCAAAATAAGCCTTAAATCTTTATAAGCATAAATACAGAGCTGTGATCAAAGCTGTCAACTCACACTAGGAAAGGGAAGAGAAATAAACGGGCACATTTAAAAAACCATTTTAATGCTATCTACCAGCAAACCAAACATGATCCAACTGCCATTTCCTTTAGGTAAACGAAGCAAAGCGAGTTAAAAAAATTGTTTTTTGCAAATAATCTGGAGAGAAGTAAAATAAAAAAGAATATTATCTGTCCTTCTCTGTATTAGTGTCTCCTTTCTATGTCTTTTGCATGTGATCTTTGCAAAAGAAAGCTATCCTAAACTGACATGGAGTACGATGTTTTGATGCAGGCAGTGTTAATGGCAGCACACGCTGGAAATTGAAAACCGTATAAGCCAACTTCTCCTTTGCCACAAAACTGCTTTATCAATGCTGACGATTAGCAGGTGTTACATGGAAGCACGGCCATAACTGAATAACTAAACCTGGAATATGTAAGTAGCCAGAATATTATTATCGACTTTTTACCCTCATTATATAATCACGTTCAGGCTAATGCAGCACGAGTTATCGTTATTTATTTTGAAAACCGAAAATTATCTCGTTTAAGAACGACAGACGCGCGGGTTCCCGGCCCGGCGTTCCGCCGATAAGCCAAGGCAGAACTCGCCCTCTGCAGACAGAGCCGCCGGAGGCTCGCCGAGCCGCGGCCCGTGCCTCGGGGCGCTTCCACCGTGCCCGCTGCCCACCCGTGTCCCGCGGGGCCGGGGCGCGGAGGGGCCGGGACACGCCGGCCCCGCGGCCCCCGAGACGGGCAGGGCCGCGCAGCGCGGCCTCTCCGCACCCCGCCCGGCGCGGACGCTCCCTGCCCGGCAGCGCCGCCCGCTCCGCCGCCCACCGCACCAGGAGGGCCCGGGCGGGGGCGGCCGGCGCTGCCCCGGCACCGCTCGGCCCCGCCGCCGCCCGAGGGGACGGCGCAGCGCGGCCGTGATCGCTGCGCCCCGCCCGGGCCCGGCCGACCCCCGCCCCCCGCGGCGGGGCCGCGCGCCCGGCGCGCCTCACCTTGGGAGCGCTGCCCGCGGCGGGAAGCGGCGGCGCGTGCGGGCATCGGCGTCCGCGCCCCGCCGAGCCCCGCGCGCCGCTCCGCCGGCCCCGGCTCCCGGGCCACGTCCCTGTCCGCGCCGCGCGCAGGCGCACTGGGCGCGCAGCCGCCGCGAGGGGCAGCCCCGGCCCCACGGGCCCCCCGGGAGGGGCGGGCGGCGGCTCTGCCTCGCCGTGCTGCCTGCGGGCGGCCGGAGCCCGCGGGTCCGACTGCGGGAACCCACCGGCTGCTCCCGGACGGTGTCACGGCTCTCCCTGCGGGTCTCGGGGCTCCCGGTGCCGTACGCTGGAAGGCCGGGCGGCGAGCCGGCTCCGCAGCGTGCGGATCGCTCGCGTGCTGCCCTCGTGCGGGTCGCCCGCTGTGTCACCGCCGCCGCCTCCGCACGGCCCCGGCCCTGAGCCGAGCCCCGGCCGACCCCGGGTCGCGGCGTCCCCGCCGCCCGCACTCGCTCCGGCAGCGGCACGGAGCCACCGCGGCGCCGCCGCCGCACGAGGCGAGGCCCCTGCTCGGGTTTGGTTTGGTCAGAGTGTCTGCCCGGGCATCTCCATAACGCCGGCTCTGCGCTAGGAGCTGCGCGCGGTAACGCGCTCTCCGGGAGCGCCACCGCCTCGGGCTACACGGGCCCGTCCCTAGGCTCATTTGTCTGACACGTTTCAGCCAGATGCCGATTAGGTTACACAAACAGTTGAGACACTGTCTGCCCGGAGCTGCTCCCCATCTAATAATGAGCCCATTCGCCATTGTCATTCTGCAGTGAGTAGAGACTCCTAGACTAAACCATACAGAAATTTTCATTTGGAAGAATTCTAACAAGACCTTTAATGAATAATTTTAATTTTAAAATATTTATTAAAGTAATTCCAACACTACCAGAATACATACTGTACTCTACAACACTACTTCATAGCCAAGTATCCAGAAATGCATTCTTTGAAAAAAAAGTATGCAGCAATAGCAAGGATAGGCTTTCACCAGGTCTTCAGCCAAACTTTTCTCATTGAAATAAGGCTGTCACTCCTGCAAGAACAGCAAAAAAGATCCGAAACAATTACTACAAGTGACCACAAGGGTCAGTCCAGTCACAGACAACAGCCTTACTGCCTTGGGTCCTCTGCAGACAAACAGGGAGAGTGTTTGTCCTGCTTGCAGGAGATGCTGCTCAAGCATCAGTTTTGCCAGTCCAAGAGACTTATAAGTACTTGTCATTGCTCTAAAACCCCTGCTTGATCCCTTGCTCTCCAGAATACACCTAAGTAAAAATACCACATACAAGAGAAATTGAGAAATAGCTTTAAAGGAATGCTTTTCCCCCTATCAACGTGACATGAATAAAAGGTACTTAATTAAACCACTGAAAATACTAGCTTTTACCTTAACGTGTTCAGGGTGTGTATGAATAGCAGTCACCCTTCCAACAAACATTGCCACTAAAAGCCAGAGGGAAAAAACCCAGAAGAGCCATTCTCACTGAATTTATAAGAGATGCTGGGGTGGGGCTAATAAACCCAGCTGGGGTCTCCATCTTGCAGGGTGGCAATGAGCAAGAAAGCATGTGGGTGTGTCAGGTTAATAGGCTGACTTTTGCCATGGCGAGCTATTTGAGGAGTAAAAAGCCTTTTTACAGAGAAAAACAAGAAATTGATTTTGTTTTTCCTTGTTTAACAAAAACTAACAAGTCTTGCTTATGATGTCATTGTCTGTGAGGCATTTGTCATGGAAGTAATTGCCCAGTAGTAGCAGCAGACTTTTTGAAGACTATGGATTTATATGCCAGAGGGGAGGAAAAAAAAGTGTTCTGCTAGAGATACTTTCTGTACAAATTGAAAAGCACATAGAATTCTGAACTTTCTAAAATTCATTCTTAGACCACAGAATCATTTTTCAATTAGGTTGAAAAGATCTCCAAGATCATTAAGTCCATGCTTTGATCATCACCTTGCCAGTGAGGCCAAGGCACTAAGTGCCACATCCAGTCATTTCTTGAACTCCTCCAAGGATCGTGACCGTGTCACCTCCCTGGGCAGCCACTTCCAAAGCCTAACCACCTTTTCAGCGCAAAAATTCCTTCTGATGTTCAATCTGAACCTCCTCTGGCACAGCTCAAGGCTATGTTCTCTTGTCACTGGTTGCCAGGGAGGAGAGGCAAATCTCTCTCTTGCTACAACATCCTTTCAGTCAGTTAAATTACTTCCGAAGCTGGCAGGTCCCTACCAGGTAGGAACTATGCTGGTATTTGTCTGATGTAGTAAACATTTATTTTTTTCTTTAATTTTCTTGGTTGTTTATATCAAAGTATTTTTTTTTAAATACTGGCTTATGTGTAACTAGCTAAGTGGATTGTTTGTATTTTTAGTGAAATGAATGAGCATAACCAGACAAATGCATCAGGAATGAAGATTCACTATTGCCTGCCAATGTCGAGAAACCTAATGCCATTTGACCTGTTTGATCCAGTGTATATATGTGTGCAAATCTGCATTCTTGCTTTAATGCATCAAATATCAATAATCCCAAGCAGCTATAATTTATTGTAGGGAGAGTATTGAATTGAGATTTTGTTTGGTTTGATGTTATTAATTACTTGCTGCTTGATCGGTTGTGAGAATTTTCCCTAGAAAATGACGGGAATTAAAATCCTATAACATATACATAAATGGTGACTTTTTAAAGGATTAAATCCATGGATTGTTTTCCGTTTAAGACCCCTTCTCCGTGCTGCATCTCTGGCTGATGCGGTGGCGCTGCTCGCACCGCCC